CCTGTGTGTGTCCTGTCCTGTGTGTGTCCTGACCTGTGTGTGTCCTGGCCTGTGTGTGTCCTGCTCTCTGTGTGTATCCTGCTCTCTGTGTGTGTCCGGACCTGTGTGTGTCCTGGCCTGTGTGTGTCCTGTGTGTGTGCTGACCAGTGTGTGTCCCGCTCTTTGTGTGTGTCCTGGCCTGTGTGTGTGCTGACCGGTGTGTGTGCTGACCTGTGTGTGTGCTGACCGGTGTGTGTCCCGCTCTCTGTGCAGTTCATCGTCATGTTCGTGGTGAAGGTGCTGAAGGTGAAGGAGGTGAACGACGTGCGTGAGTACGAGGACGAGGACGGCAGCATGGCGGCAGCAGAGCTGCTCAGAGGCGCCCGGGCAGGGGGCGGCGGCGGCAGGGGGGGGGACGATGCTGGACATCACAGCTCTCCCCAGGGGTGAGTCCACCCCTAAATGTGAAAAATCTGGGTGTAGTTTTGAATCCACGTTATTATTCTCTCTTAGTCCTCAGCAAACAGCCACAGAAAAGTCTGCCCCCCCCCCCTCCAAAGGAAAGGCCTTGGCCTGAATCTTTTAAAACCCCCCCCCCCAAAAAATAATAGAGCACAGCCATCTCCAGCTATCTCCCACTGGCAGCACTCAAAAAATCACTTTCTTTCTTTCTGTTAGGATACAAACATCCTCAGGTTGGTTTTCTCTTTTGGGTTCTTTAATCTGTCATCTGTTCCATGTCCAAATCTGGTGGGAAAAGTCTTCACACTAAATACACACAGACAGATTTGATCCATCATAAATAAGAGTCTTATTTACCAGCTCAGGCTGAGCTGTACGTTGGAGGGTGGGTGGATGAACCCCAGTTCAGCCGAGCTCGCAGTTGTGGTTCCGTTTCTGACACATTTACCTAAAAACACCCCCCCGGCCTCAGTCCCCCACCGGGACAGGACACTGGCACTGTTATGGGAAGCTGGGATTTTAGAATTTGCACTAAAGCAGCACCTCAGTGACCCTGTGCCATAAAGTGAAGCTCATAATTCCTAGAAAGAAGCCCCTGACATTCCTCATAGGGGATTTTCCACCCAGAGACATGTGGATATGTTAAGTGTGGCCTGGGCCCTACGTGGAAAACAAGAGGGTGCTCAGCTCTTATCGGTCACTACCTGGAACGGTCACAATAAACAGTTGTTTGTCTGTAAGGAAGAAAGTCAAATTTCAAATCATTTCTGACTCTGGCCTCTTTAAAAGCAGCTACTGGTTCTTTGGTTTAAAGAGGAACGTGCAGGCTAACCACAGTGTTATCATCAGACACCTTTAATCTGTCACGTGCATCTCTATCTCCACTGACCTTTGACCCTGGGTGTCTTACACAGTCCACCCCTGGACTCTGAGATGTCCTGATGCGTGATCAGGTCTGAGCCGGGCTGGTCCCTCTTAAGGGCAGGTTATCTGAGTGTCCGTGTGGAGTCCTGTTCATGTGGGGGCAGGGCCTTATGAGCCTTATCGGCACGGCCTTGAACACTTGTGATATCCTCATCACCAAATGTGTCACATCTGCCTCTGACCCCCCCCCACAGTCTCTCTGATGCCTCTCCCTCTCTGCAGGAAGCACGTGCAAAACGGGGTCACCAAGGAGAAGCACCTATAACCGGCTCTCCATCGCCCCCAGCAGGCCGGAGGCCCCCGGGACACGCCCTCCTCAGACCTGCATGTTCACAACCCGACCCGGGAAGAGCGCCACCAACAGGGAGGGAGGGGCAACGTCGGGGGGGTGGGAAGGTGTTCGTCTTCTGTTTTACATTTCAACACCATCCGTTTGGTTTCGGTTTTCACTTTTTAGAGCACTGTGAATGTTATTTCCTCCGACTTTTCGTCTTACTGTTGGGAACTAAGCATTTTATAGATTTAGTAAAAAAACAAACCCATTCAGTTCAGAGTTAGGCTTTGACCGTCCTATCCGTGTTTTCACTCCTAACAGTGATAGAGAAAAAGCCTAAACTCGCACCGGCTCTTTTAGTAACCCGGCAGGCAGGCGGAAGCTGATCATATAGATGCGATTAGTGGATTTGTTCCTCCCCCCCCCCACTCTGACCTCTGCCCATCCTTTGGTTTTTAAGGTTTCAGACCACCTGTGACCATTAGTTTGAACTGATAAGTGCATGAGCGTACGAACGCAGCTTAAAAAAAACAAAAAAAATCTCAGTTTTATTGTACTGCTGATCCACACACACTTGGCATTCCTGTCAGGAAAAAGCTCCTTTTTTTGTCGCTTTCAGTGTGTTGCAAAGCATCTGGTGCTGCACTGATATGAAGGCATACAAGCTGATTGCTAGTTTAATGACAGCAAATAGCTGGAATTGATTGACCGGGTTCAGATGCCGTCTCTATAACTTCATTTATTCCGAGAGGGTGTCGGGTTCAGCCCATTTTCACCCAGAACAATCAGTAATGAAGCATCAAAGAAAAAGTATATTCACATTATGGTATTCAGGAATGCATGACATGGGAATGATTTTGGAAATATGCTAGGAATTAGTGAAAAGCAGACTCCTCCAGCTGTGTAATGGTGCTGTGAGGCTCCGCCCACATCCGGCCAACATGCAAACCAGAGTGCGGCGCTTTGCCATTTAAATGGGAGTCTTTCAGACAGGTGTGGCTCCCAAATGAGCTGCTGCCAGACGCAGGTTTGCAGGCAGGCAGGACATTCAGGTCGGAGAGAATCTTCTGGAAGGGAACAGACAGAATCACTGCATTTGACTGAGCCCTCTGGGTTTTGCATGTTAACCAGCGGTCGCACCCATAGGAAACAAGCAATATTTCTATTCTTTTTACCTTCTCGATCAAATTCAAGCTTTTGTTGGATGAACGGCAGGCTTGTGCTGCCTGACTGATGCTGTCAGTCCACTGGAGAAAGCTTCCATCCTCTGCTGATGTTTGTCTTCCAGCACCCCCAAATCACCGTGTAGGGGAGCTTTAGTAATCCTTTTTTATTTCACATGAGAACTCCTTTAGTTGATTTGTTTAGTTGTTTTTTTACTGTCGTCTTTATCTCTCTGTGAAAGCACTGTCGATATACCAGATCTGTTGTTTTTCTGCCGGCCACGTCGCGTTTTCAGGGACCAGGGAGAGCCGGATTAGGAATCTCCATTAAGAGCATCTCCAGTCTCATCTTTTAGATGTGAATGACTGACTGTACTCCGGTGGTCCTGGGTTTGCTGTGATGCGGGTCACATGACACTGGTGGAGCCACTCCTGCGTCACACTAAAACTCTGCTGTGACCCGGTGGGTCCACTACCGGGGATTGTGGATACAACTAAACAAAACCTGTTTACACCACGGCCCCCGTCCTTTTAGCACCTCAGGGTTTATTCGGCTGTTGTGGACACTTTTAAATCAGTGAGCTGTTTTACTGCTACTTTAGACCTTCTCTCCAATGATTAGCCCTAAAAATAAGCCTTTATTTACTGTTGTTTTACTCAGTATCTCTATCGGTTTTCCATTCAAGATGAAATATTTAAATTCCCATTAAGCATCAGCTCTGAATCGACTGGACTAACCTCCCTTTGGGGGTCCTGCTGTAAACCGACTGAACTGATTTTCAGTTGTAACACCGTCCGTCTGATGATCCAGATGGGAGGCGAAATGCTTCTGAAACGTTTTGATTTGGACAGTTTTAAGCTCCAGTATTTGCTTACAGTGATTTTTAGTTAGCACATTAAGCCGATTTTTACATTTAAGTGAGAAAAAGTCTTTGTGTTTGCTCAGTAACGTTAAGCCTACGGAAAAGGAAGTGATGATCAAAGTTTTTCTTCAAGCTAGCTTGCCCTTTAGGACCACCTGACCTCACAGGAGCCGGAGGACTTCTGTGTGTGTGTGATGATACAGTTTGTGTTGAGGCTGTGGATCGACACCCCGTTTTCAGATATTAGGATCAATAACATAAGCCGTGGCAGTTTTTTTTTTATGAAATGAGCAGAAAAGCTGCTGAATGACGGCTATTAGAAAGGAATGCAGTGTGTTTAAGTAAGTAAGGCAGCACAGTGTCTCTAGACTCCCCATTTTCATTCATTTGAAATATTTCCAATCGTAAATTAGCCTTTTGTTGGGCAGTGATTCTGACTGTGTCAGTGACTGCTTAATGCTGAGGAAAAGGTCTTATAATCAGCTAATTATCGTATATTTCAGTGTTTAAATCCTATTCTAGCCTCTCTCCAAATTCCAGAGCGATTGGGCCTCTCTGATCCCTCTTTTTTCTCTTCGTTGTCTCACTCGTCTCTGATGAGTCAGACAATAAATGGAAAGTGATCACAAAGGCTGCACAGGATGAGATTTGGAGCACAATGGGTGAGTCTTCCTAAATTCCCCCAAAGTATCATCTTAAATGCTTCGATTGTGCCAAAACGTCCTCTGATAGGAGTGGAGAGTTGGTTGGAGCTGTGAGGATTTGCAGCGGAGAGCTGGCCGACTGGGACGGGCAGAAAAGCCCTGCTGGTATTTCTTACACTTTGCACTGTAATTTATTAGTATTTATTGTTGATAAGTAGATTAAAATTAAAAAGGGAGAATTTGGGTATTTTTAATACAATGACTGAAGGATCAATCTTAATTTAAACTCTGTATTTGAATGATTTTGGACCACTGGTAGCACTGTAAGCTTCACAAATGACCCCAAATTTTCCAAACTGAATTTGACCATTTTCTGAAATGTGACTCCTGAATAAAGATTATTTGCTGTTTTGTAATACAGTTTTAATACCATTAAGCCAATGTTATCGTTTCAATCATTTCTCATGAAATAAAACATGTCTGAACAATAAAAAAAGCATTACATTTTCTTTTTCCTTTTTATTATATTTTTTGTCTGGACTTTATTTTCAATCACAACCAAAATCGTTTTCATTGCAAAGATCAAGTGTCATGGATGAGGTGAAAAAGGCTTCAGGAGAGAGGAGAGTTCATTTCAGTGCACATGAAAACAGAAACGCCCCAATAAATTAGAACTATGTACCACAGTTTTTCCTCTTTCCTCGGTAAAAAAAAGTCCCCGTCACTGTTGTGGACTGGGTTCAAAGGTTCAAAAAAAGGTTCAAAGGTCATGCAGTGTCACGTGAACGACAGAGAGAAAAACAGGAGAGGGTCATGGCAACGCTGCGGGGGGGTTTCCACACAAACAAATCAGCATTTATCCCAACAACTCTAAAGCAAACGCCCGTCTGCTGGCAGCTAAAGGTCCGCTCAGATAAAAGCGGTTCAGGGGGTCGCAGTATTAGCAGAGAGCGCCCCACCCCGACCCCCGCCCGCCCGATTAGATAAGGACACCGGCAGCGGGGTGAACTGCAGTAACCCCGGCCTCAAAACTGTTTATTTTCATTTTTTTGATTGGGGAATCTAAAGAAGTGAGACGGTAGGTCCCAGACAGCACGGGCTAAATCACAACAGGTTCAGGGGGGCTCACACATCATCGTTAGGGTTAATGGACCATCTAACATGTCTTCATGTTGACTAAAGTCTCTACTGTAAACCGTACTACAGCCTGGGAAGGCTGACCGATAGCCCCCCCCCCACCAGAACAAATAGGGGCTCACACGGTGTGTGTGAGGGCTCCTGACTAAACAACTACACCACATCACAACTACAAACGCAGGGACCTAACTACCGTGGGTTATAGGGCACCAGAGAGACCGGGAAGGTGGAGGTTTTAGGAGATCAATAACCGTTTCAAAAAGCATCCGTTCATGTGAAGAAAGAAAAGGCAAAGCTGTGTCTGTAACAAAAGGTTGACCGAACTGAACCTCCTCCACAAGAGACAGACAGGGGAGGGAAATGATTCCTGATTATTGGGTCTGTGAGACCGCGTAGACAACGGTTGGCAGCGAGACAGGATCTGACATCAGTTTGTGCATCTGCATGAGGGAAATGGAAGTGATTTGCTGGTGTGAAGACCATCAGAGAGCAGCAGCTCATCCAGCCTCTGCCCTCACTGGATGGAGAGTCTGGGGGGGGCTGGAGGCTCTAGTGGGCCTTGGCTTTGGGCTGGGTGACCCTGCGGACAACACTGTAGAGGACTCCAAAGTTCTGCAGCGAGACAAGAGAAGAGACGGCTTTTATCTCATTTCTCCAAACAACAACTGACAGCAGAGCTCTGGGAAACATTTCCATCACAACAGGAACATCATCCAATAAAAGAGAATTCTCCTCCGTCTGACCTATTTACACCAGTTAAATCAATGACAAGTGGGATAAAGCAGGTAAATCAGAGATATAAACTGCTCATCTCCAATCTCTAAAAATAAAAACACACTAACGCCACAAAAATATTGAATGTGGACAAAATACAAATCAGGAGAAAGAAAAAAAAAAGTATTTTCTGATCCCTTTGATGCAAAAGAAGCCATGGTTGGACCTCCTCTTCCTCCTCTTAACCAGCTACTCTTTCAGATCTCCAGACATAAGAGTCTAACAGATGTTTTGAACACAAATACATAGCTAATTTATGTTGTCATTTCTTCCACAAGACATCAAATGTCATTTTCCCAAACAGACTTCAGTTTAACTGTCTTTGCACATCACAGGAGAAAAAGACCCTGTTGTCAGAGGTGTGTGCAGTCAGTATTCTGCCCTGAGCCAGAGACCTACCTGGATAGCCAGGTACATCATCCCCAGGTAGGCTGCAATGCAGACGGCCAGCAGCAGGTCAAAGATAGCTGGCTTCACTCTGAGAGGGAGAGGGAAAACAGCCTTCAGACACACAGGCGCTTTTAGGACCACCCCCCCCCCCACACACACACCCCAGGTGCTCTGACAGGTGAGTTAGCCTTTCAGGAACCAGACAGGGACTAAAAATGACCACTGAGAAAAGATTCAAACAGCTTTACAGTTAGTAAAAAGCTTTTAGAGCGCTGTGATAAATCCTTAACCCAACGGGCAGTTTCCCGCTCCACAACTCGGGTTTCTTAGTCCCCAAATTAAAACAAGACAGATGCTTGAGGCAAACACAGAACGATCCTCAAAAATGGGATTTCTGCTGGGATTAAATACAAAATAATTCTACAGAAAAAGACCCAGAAGATCATTCCTTAGTTGAGTTTCCTTATACAAAACCCTCCAAAACAAAGGCATTTGCCCACAGCTTTGTTCGGGTATCAGCTCTGATAAAACCGATTTATTCAGAGCCCAAATGAAACCAGACCATCCGTACCTGTAGGCGTTCATGGTCTGCTTCAGCTGGTCATAGAACACAAACTCTGGATCCCTGCAGAGAAGAAGGCCAGAACACAAAACATCTGAATGGATGAGGAACTTTTGGACTTTTACATGGAAAGAAAAAAAACAAGAAAAAAAAAGGAACTCTTGGTCATTCCGACTACAATAACAATATAATTTCCCTTCAGGCCAAAAGTATTTTCTAATTTATTTGAATTAAAACCTGACTTAAATGCAGGTCTCAGGTCAGAACTGCTGCAGAAAACCAGATTTCCCTGCATGGTTGCTGTCCTTCTTTAAATCAGCCCGCAGATCAGAAAATGTGACTGGAAAGTAGCCAAAGCTTCGTTCTAACAAAAGCTCAACCTCCTGCATCAGCACAGGACCTGGACATTGTTTTAGCCTCCACACAGTTTCCTAACAGCCCATGAGGAGCTTTCAGGGTCCTCCAGAGTAAAGCAGGAGCCCTTCAGGGAAACCGGACCAAGCTGAGCGTTCATCAGCTGAGGCCTAACATCTAAAGTGGAAGATGTAGCGTCTCTGAATCAGACTAACAGGTCTTAGTCTATTGTTCCTTATGATTTTATAGATAGTATAGATTGACTAGGCTTGTCCATGGACTGATTTAAGTGAGCGGTTAAAGCAGCAGCAGCTCTTTCTGGACCTTTTGTCAGCTTTGACGTAGTGCCTCTTGACGTCTTTGAGGTAGCGGCCCAGGTGGTACTCCAGGGTGGACACCACGCTGCTGTCTTTGTCCACCAGCTGGGCAGCTCGGGGCTGCGCGGTCAGCCAGTCCACCACGGCGGACAGGTGCTCCTCCTGCACCTGCTGGGGACACGGCATGTGTCAGCTCACAGACGGGGAAATGTGTAGTCCACTGGGTGTGGTTTAAACTATGGATGTCCCGATACAGCTTTCTGATCCGATCCCGGCCTATCAGAGCATGTTTTAAAGTCTAAAGTTATTTATCTACTTCCTTAGTTGTCAGACTCATGTTGAACAGGGATTTACTCTGATAACAACTTAATGGTTAGGACACAGACCTGTGGGTTACAGATGCTAATGCTAATGCTAATGCTCGTGTGGGATCGATAAACACAAAATAAACAAAATTATAAATAACGGAAATGGCTTCAGTGAACAGTATAAAGTGCAAACAATATTGTAAACTGTATTAAAAGGCAAAAGACACTATGAACTCAGCATCAGAACTCTGTTTTACATCCAGCTCTTCCTCTTTTTGGTCCTTAAGGATAAAATAATCCCACACAACTGACTTTTTACCGGCCGATCCGATCCAGATACTGGATCGGGACGAGGCTAGTTTAAACATCAGACACTTGAGGCAAGGGAGGGAAACGTGAAGACGTACCATCTGTTCAGTGAAGATCTGCAGGGCTCCAGGTGCCCCCTTTGAAAAGAGCAAACACAAAAAGGCTGAGTTCCTGCTGAGAGGGATTCTCAGACCAGTGTGACGCCCTCATCCCTCTCTACCTTTTCTGTGAGGTTGTAGATGACCCTGGCCAGTGCTTCGGCCACCACCTTGGTGTTTCTGCCGAGCTTCTTCACGTCCACATGGGGCCTGTAGGACAAAAGCAGGAGTTTGTGGACAGCTCCAAAAGAGGAAGTGAGCAACAAGGGAAAGTACAACTAAAAGCAACATCTGTTTCCAAACAGGGAGGCTGAAACGTAGAAAAACTGAGACAGGGACACTCTGCACCAGAAAGAAGTCAAACAGAAATAAGAGAGGAGAAAGCAGAAGTGCGGCCTGGATAGGAGGGATCAGAGACATGTGACAGAGCAGGTGTGTTCTCTCTGTGAGCTGCAGTGATGAACCCACCCAGCAGGTGGCTCTCCCGCTCCGTGGCGAGAGGAGGGGGACACTGACCGCACGTCCATGATGCTGGAGCGCTGAGAGGAGCGGTGCGAGGGCAGGTGGGACAGAGTGAAGGCCGGCAGCCGGCGGATCCCGAAGCGCTCGTGCTCCCAGGCCAGCATGTCGTCGGCCAGGTTGATTTTCTTGTGGACCATGGAAAACTTCACCTCTGGATACTGACTCGAAACCACCTGCCAGAGAGAACCACCACAACACAAAGTTACCGCTTTCTACCTCTGGAATCAGAACCTCTGATTTTAACAAGTGCCATCATTCCAGATTAAATAACTAAAACAGCACTATAGTGTGTTAATCAGAAGTGGCATGATTCCAGATTAAATAACTGTAAGGCAGCACTATAGTGTGTGAATCAGAAGCTTTGATATTAAGAAGTGGCCTAATTCAATATTAAATAACTACAGCAGCCCTATAGTGTGTGAATCAGAAGCTTTGATATTAAGAAGTGGCCTAATTCCATATTCAATAACTAAAGCAGCCCTATAATGTGTGAATCAGAAGCTTTGATATTAAGAAGTGGCCTAATTCAATATTAAATAACTAAAGCAGCCCTATAATGTGTGAATCAGAAGCTTTGATATTAAGAAGTGGCCTAATTCCAGATTAAATAACTAAAGCAGCCCTATAGTGTGTGTTTTCGACCAAAGCAACGCATCTAAAAAGAGTCAAAGTGGCCCTACAGACTGTAATGGTGTGTTGGCTGGGCGGTGGGCCGGAGCCTGTACCTGCTCCAGCTCTTTGAGCAGAGAGTACTGCGGCGTCCCCTCCTTGGGGGGCTTGGACACATGGAGATGCAGGGAGTCGCCGTTCCCCAGAGTGTCCAGACACAACACAAAGGCCACGTTGTCCTGCAGCAAACTGGAGTCTGTTAAGGAGGAGAAAGAACATTTGAAATGGACAGACAGGGACAGTATGTGGTCACAAAAGTGTTGGGCTGCAGCTAACAGCAGGTTTTTAACAGACTAACCTGAAAACAGACACCTGATTAGACTCAGACTCAACTTTATTTATCCCTTTTTTACTCCTTAAGGGAAATGCTTGTTCCAGTAGCTTATGAAAAGTACAAGAGACAATATAGACAATATAAAAAGAGTGTATATGGTACAGACGTATTTGTTTCCTTTAGTTATAAAGTATCTGTACAGTAGAGAGCAGAGTAAAGTACAGACTACACAGTAGTTGACTTGGGTTATTGCACTATAAATATTACACAGTAGTTAGCACGTGTTATTGCACAGTAAGAAAGAAGAATATTGCACATGTTTCCATCTCCCTTTCACCTATTAGAACATTTAACAAGTGCTTTCTGCTTTCTCCTTGACCGATCCAGGTTTTGGTTAAATGACTGTGTTAGCTTTAATAGAACATCTTCTGACCTCTATCCCAGCTCCTGGGACTACAGCTAATATGATTATCGGTGGGTGGCAGATGGGTACCTGTGTGGTCCAGGTTGTCCTCCAGCCAGCGTTTGGTGCCCTGGTAGTTGAACTTTCCACCACCGGACACAAAGAACAGCAGGTTGTACCTGAAGATGGGAGGAAATTCACAACAGTTAAAAGTCAGAATGACAACCGCCCGGACAGGAAATGGAGCTCACTCAACTTTAGAAATGATGTAAACATCACATTTAAACTGAGAAAGCTTTCCCCCTCCAGCCTGTGACGTTATCGGTGTTGAGACTGGCTTTAATGTATCGGCCTTCCCATTTGTGGAGGGATTTAAGCCTTTCTCTGACTCATCATGTGCATAAAAACCAGCAGCTCGTGCACTGCAGATGCCAACAATACTTCCAGTTTATTGACAAAGACAGAGGTAATCGTACTCTGCTTCATCTGAATCAGACAGAAGTTAAAGCTGAGCTCACAGCAGAAGCTATGAAACCAGCTAAACTGGGGGGGGCTGTCTGGGTTAGCTCACGCGGCATGTGTCCTCTTGTAGGTGTAGAGTTTGGAGAAGAGGCGGGCCAGCTCCAGCAGCATGGAGACCCCGCTGCCGTTAGAGTCGGCTCCGTACGACAGCCACTGCACACACACACACACACACACACACACACACACACACTCACATCAGCCTGTCGGGATTTGATAACAAATTAATCTTGATAGTTGCATGAGGAGCTGACCTACCGGAGCCACACCAAAGGAGTCGTAATGAGCCACCACAACAATAGTGGGGAGGTCCTCTCCACCCACTCCAGACAGGCGGCCCTGGGAAGCCAAACCAGAGCCCTCAGTCTCTACACATATTTGAAAAACTAAACTGAAACTAAACCCCTTCAGGCTAAGGTAATACCCTCTCATCATCTGCAAGTCAGATGACTTTAGCTTTGTTTCCCACATAGTTTTAAAATCAAATCAGATTAAAACGGCCTAAAGCATTACTACAATCCAACTTTGTGCTTAAGTATTTCTGGCTCTAATGGTTTCAATACACTCAAAGTTAGCCAATCAAAGTAGCAAAAATGCTATAATTCACATTTGTATATCATGGGTCACCGAGGGACTAAAAATGATCTAAAATTATGGGAATTTTTTAAAATGGTTAAAGAAGAAAATAACATGTCTGATTTAATGCCCCACAGTCCATTCGTCCCTGTCAGTGAGATTCAAACAGAAACGGAAATATAAACCATAAACTCTCTAAGCTCAATTATCCAGACACACAGCAGTTTTTGTTTAGGACTTTAAGTCCAATGTTCGGGAAACAGGGACTGGAGACAGGACTGATTTGCAGAGCTCTGCTGTCAGGTTAAGTCTCCATAAAAAGGGCAGCTCTTGCACACTGGAGGACGGCTTTCAGGCTGTAACAGAGCTCACTTATTTCATTGTTCTCACCATAAAGTGATTATTATCGCCATTTTTCATATAGTCTATGTGTTACAGTGGAGGCTGCCTCTCTCTCTCTCTTGCCTTCTCTCTCTCTCTCTCTACCCCAACCGGCCGAGGCAGATGCCCCCCCCACCCTGAGCCATGGTTCTGCTCCAGTTTTCTGCCCCCTAAAGGCAGTTGTTTCCTCCCTGTGTCTCCTAGTGCTGCTCTTGTTGGGAATTGCTGTTTTTCTGGAAATAAGTCTGAGCTGCTCTGTTTGGAAAGCTGGGAGATAGCTGTTGTTGGGACGTGGTTCTATAGAAATAAAATTGAATTGAATACGTCTGTTTAGACCCAGGCAGGGAGCGGGTTACCCCAGCTGTGTGCCTCACCTCTAGGCTGGTGATGGCCCAGTCGCTGACGGCTTTGCTCTGAGCTCCGCTGGTCACCATCTGAAAGCCGTTGGCTGTGGCTGTGTGCAGCAGCACTGCAGAAAACACAGCAGTTACACAACCACCTGGCAGTGGGCGAGGGGGGGAGGGAGGGAGGAACCCACCTTCAGCGGCCGATAGGGAACCCTGAGAGGAGGAGGAGGTCAGGGTTTGAGTGTAGATGGACAGCAGCTCCTCGTCCTCCATGGCAAAGTAGACGGGGATGATGGTTTCAGTGGCCAGCATCTCTGGCTCCAACTCCATGAACTGCTGCAGAGGAGGAGTACAGAACAGCTTTAAAAAGACAAGACAGCTCCATTTGGAGAGGCAGATGGATGAAAACGCAAAGGGGAAGTCTAGTGGTGACACCTGACAGCTCCAAGATGGATTACTCCTGTTTGGAGAAAGGAGATGGAAGGAAACTAATAGCTTACAAATAACACTTTTTCTGGAGAAAAAAAAAACTACAATAATTTTCCAAATAAGGTCATGTATTATGTAACAACATAAGTAATTTATCAAACTGTTTGCCAAAATATGCACAGTCATGAAGTGGGCGGTTTTATTAATCAGAGCCCTTCTAGCGTGACTTTATTCGGCCTCTGGTAAGGCACAGAAACACTGCACACCCCTGCACCCTGAGAGCTTTAATCAGCTTTTGAGTCAGGCTAATCTTGGGAAATCTGAGTGGGAGCCCTTTCCAGACAGAGATCTGAGGCAGGGCGCCTCCTCACCTGCACGATGTCCTGCGGCATGGCAGACATGTTTTTGGGCAGGATGATGACCACGGCCCCCGCCGACTGACGCAGGGCTTTCTGGTACTTGTCGTAGGAGAAGTCCGCCAGTCGCATGATGACACAGCGACGACTTAGTACCTCTGCCTCCACCGTGCGGGCCTCAGTGTTCAGGATGGCATTCCTGGTACCTGAAGTTTGGACAGACAAACAGAAACTGCATCAAATAAAACAGGGGTCTTCAACATTTTCCAGGCTAAGCACCCCCAAACTGATGGCGAGCTGGAGCAGGGACCCCCTAATTATATATATTATATTCTATCAAACTGCTCCTATAGTGTGTAAATGTCCCCTTGTTTTTGGGCATTCAGTACTAAGATCCTCAGATAATCCACAGGTTGATATTTCTGGAGTTTTAACAGGATAAGTGGAGCCAACAGAGTGTACATTAACCAGGTAATGAGTCCAAGAGTTTCTTGTCCCTGCGCCGTTTATCTGGTAAGCTGTTAATGATAGAATAAACCCTCAACACTCGAGATTCTGCTAAATTGTGCTGCGTCACACCCACAAACGTGCCGTTTAAAAAACAAACTACTCCCTCCTGGATCGCATTCTGGTTTAGTGCTCTGGCAGCAGCTGTTCAGATGCAGTTTTTTTTATGCCAGCTGCTGATTTTAGGTGCCAAAGAGACCTGCCGGCTCCATCAGAGGTGGATCTTGAATGGCTGCGGACATATTGGGCTCAATTTTAAACTAAAAATACTTCCCATAGAGGTGGCTCTTGCAGGAAAAAAAAGAGTATTACTGATATAATGTTGAAGAGCACTACCGTCTGGCATCAATTTATAATAGATATTATTCTTTAATTGGGCATAAAGGGAGTTTGCACAGCAATTCCTTCCCATTAAATGACAAATCATTAACTCAAAGGCTTCTGAGGAGTTAAACATCTTCTCAAAGGACAGAAGCTGCAGCCTGTGCAGACCCCAAAGGTTTTTATGCCATGTGAGACAGTTGTCAAGCACAGGTTGATGTTAGAAGATATTTCCAGCCAGCATGTTCTGCTTTAGGACCATCATGCATCACATCAGCTCTGTGCTGGACGTCCATAGCTGATCCAAACAGCAGCTACCTGGAACTAAGCCACCAATCAGAGTGGGTGTGGGTCTTAAAGAGACAAAACCCAGCCTTTTAAACTGAAATGCACTAATGCAGGCGAGTAAGTGGACTCCGAAAAGGCGAGACTGCAAATTGATGTTGAATTTGCTCTTTCGTTTCAAAGCCTGCCTGTAGTTAGTTTGTACATACAAGCTAAAAACGTGTATCTGATCAATGAATGGGACGGGGTGGGGGAAGGTGTGGAGGAGGCGCGACAGGGTCCACGGGTCTGTGGAAATATCTCCCTTCACCATTACCAGTTTTAGTTCATTATTGAACCACCGTTTAAAATGTCACAGCATCTGTAATCCAAACCTCATCATTTCAGGACTGCTTCGGGAAATGAACCGACCTGCTGCCGACTAGCTAAGCTAGCCAACATTAGCATTTAACGGCAGAGCTAACGAGGCACGCGAGACTAAGCACGCGAGTACTAATATAAGTCATTATCATCACCACATTAATGCTTTAATGTTTCCAATGTGCTCGACACACGGCACACGTACCGTACGGCTGTCCCTGGAGGTCGTACTGCTGCATGCGGTACACCGTGAACTCATGTGCCGCCTCGGCCGGGAGAGGGGATACCAAGATCAGCACCGCGGGGATAAACACAATAAAAGTGAGGGGAAACGACGACTTGAACATATTGTCAAACACTTCACTCGCTTCCTCGAACATCGTGGCGATTAAAATCAGAGTTCACCGAGAGACGAAATCAAATGTTCAGCTGTCAACGTTCAAGGCAACTGACAGCCAGAAAGAGCGAATTCTGTTCAGGCAAATAGCTGGACAGCCCATACCTCAACCTTTAAAAAATAACAGAAAACTGTATTGCTATTCGCATGTTTCTCATAAAAATACTGGAAAAGCGTGGTATTCACTAAAAGGCACATAGCCACTAGGAAAAAAACAAAATAGAAAGATAGAATATTTTAAACTTGGCCGGTCCATTGGGTCGTTCAGGCATCTTTTAGGACAGCTAAAAGTAAAATGATTAACAACGCTTTGTGACCCTAGATGGCGTAACGGACCACAAAAATTCATCACGAGGAGAGAGCCTCTGAATAAAAAAGCTTGTATCAGAGCCACAATCACTTTTACTTGTGTCCTAATTTTTAACGGCAATAAAATAGATTTTTAAGAGAGCAAAAGATATCTTGTTAGCTTAACGTTGCCTATCAACATTTTGGTCACAAAGGCGTTTAGTCCAGCAATTAAATGTTTGTTTTTCCCAGTCGAAAACAAATAATAATTATTTTGACAAAATCTGCAACTATATGTGAGCAAAATCAAATCAACGGCACCCTGTTAAACTGTGTATGAAAATATTTTGCTTGTTATTCAAACTAAGGGACATTTATCACCACAAGTTCTTTCACCACTTGTAATTTCCCTGGAGTACTGTTTCCACCAAATTCCCAATTAAATTATACAACGATCAAACTTTCTGTTAATTTCAAATTAAGTACAAAAGGATGAGACACATGGACTGATATCCATGTGCTGCAATATGACAAAGCAAAAGACTTAGAGGAAGCCTTAGAGGCCACACGACTTAAGAGTACCCTCCAAAAACATGAATGATTCTCTAAATGAACACTTCTTGCATGTTTGCCACAGAGTTTAGTTTCAAAAGTGCAAAGGGTAAACTGTAAACAGAAAATGTTGGAGCCTAAAACTTTTGGCATTCTTAATTAATATCTATTTGGTGTAAACAAGACGTGCAAAACTTCATGAAATTAAAAACACTTTTTAAACTGAAAAGCATTGAGGTGGATCAAAAGTATTTTGAGCCATGTGCTGCACCCATTTGCCTCTCACTTGAGGAGAGAAGAATGTTAATTACCAGCTAAATTAGAATTAAACCATCATTCTTTATGTACCATAACATATGAGGGTCTATGACGGGATGATCCTGATCATTTCTCTAAAATCTACAATGGACCAATTGAAAAAGCACAGAGTGATCATTTTGAAATGGAACTCCTTATTCCTAAGGGAAACATGTTTAAAATCTAAGAATAACCATTGAAACAGCAGTGCTTACAGGGCAGGCCAACAATTTTACAAACCAAAAGCCCTCTAAAGGAGCAAAAGTCCTCCATATTAGAAAGAAACACTTGAAATTACAAGTGACCACTTTGGTTAAAAAATATTCATGATGCACTGTATATAAAATTATTGTGTGCTTGTGCTTGTCTAATCATTCGACCTTATTGCAGTGGCAAAGTATGACCAAATTGAAAAAATATGTCCACTAAAGTTTTGTGTCATAGAACAGCGGTAATGAAATTTAAAAGTCAGGTAGGAAAGAGCTGAAAACTCTTTTCTCCTGGTGGCCCCTCCATCTTGTCCTCCCTCCTGGGGCTGCTCTGCTAAGTGGTAGATTAATGCTGATATGATGTCCTGCCATCCCACTTAATGGACCTTGGCGTCATTATTTCCTGTAGAATGAGTAATCCATGCCCGGGTTGTTGAGAGGACTGCAGGCAGCAAACAAAGCATAAAGGCAATTTCACTTGGACGTTGGATCTCTCTGTAATCATTTCACATAATCGAGAAATTATCATCTCAGAGATCCGCTGACATGAGCCACTGTCTGCGGGGAGGAAAACAAGATGCTGAAGACAAAAGCAGAAAGGAGCATTTGTTTAGAGGGGAAAATAATGTTCTTGTGTGGCTGGTGCGTGAGCAGGACGGCCAACAACGCTGGCGTCACATGAGCCTCATTCTTGAAAATTCATAACATCCCGTTGTCACATGATCATCAGACCCAGTGGCTCAGCAGAAATGCTTGTGGTTCCTTTTTCACTTGATGTTGCCTTGTCCAATAGCATTCTGTTCCAACGTGCCCTACAATAGACACTGGGTAACACACACTCTGTGCATGAGCTGCCCAGTGTCCTCATTTCCTCGCAGTGTTCCTGGGAATGTCCTGAATCAGACCTGCCTCTGCTCCCAACGCCAGGCCACGGAGAAACACTCTCTCTGTGCAGATGCACAAAGGATGCAGTCACTGCGTGTCGGGTTAAGGGCCACGGATTAACGACAGATTACCTACCTACCCACAACGCCCCCCCCCCTCGCCTTGTCGCCCCTTTCCATTCTCAGAGGATGCTGTCATTTTCTCACCACTGCTCAAACACTGACCACACTGAATTGCTTCAAGGTGAGAATCACAGAATACCAAAGATAGCTGGAAGAGGGAGTGCTCTCTGGCCCGAGACACCGCACAGGCACTACTTTTAACACACAATGGTGGCCTTTCTAAATGTTTAAAGTAGCTCCTCTGAGTCACACTCTCCTTAAAACGCCAACAGCTGTAATCCCTCTGTAAACGAGCAGAAACTTAAAAAAAAACCCAGCCAGGTCACAGTCAGTGGATAAACGTGTGTGACAAATGATTTGAAATACAAAAACCTTTAATGTAACTGTTTTTCAAGTTAAAATCTAGTCTTTGTTTTTCTGTTTGCGATGTGGATGTTATCTACTTATGTACAAAGGGGCTTGGATGCTGTGGAAAAGGCAAGTAAAAGCAAAGATGCACTGATTTGCTGATCTTTAAATCCCTGCGGTAAACTGAAAGCAGGACACAGGAAGCAAATCAAATGCTGAAACTCAAAAGTTTTTACTCTAACAATACCTGCTCGTTCTGGATTTGATGAAGAGCTCGTTTTGTGGATTCTGTAAAGCTGTGGGAGTTGCATTTATGGATAGAATTGGGTTTTCCACCAGTGCTTTTTACAAGGACTACCAGAGATTTTCAGAATTGTTCACAACCATTTATAATATCTAGGTTTAATGGTGATAATATATGTATCATGAAATATAATCTCACAATCTCTGGTAATTCAGATGAAAAAGCTCTAAACGAATATTCCAATGGGATATGGCAAGTACATCTGACACAGATTATTGAGCACAAATAATAAAGTAAAAAGGGGAAAGTGAAATTGATACACAGTGAAAAATAATCAAAGATAGACCAAAAAAGTTAATCTGCGTTAGACTGGGTCCAGGGTTCCCCCCCTTCTTTAACCAGCTGTCAGATGGGACCCCGTTGGGAATAACTGGTACAGAAAATGGATAGATGGATGGAAAATGTTCAAGTAAAGCCAACTGTGGTGAATAAGTATCAGGTAATAGCAAAATATAACAGCTTATTCCAGATCATGCCACTCACCTGTAGACCATTAAACTCCTTTTTTAACACTTTCATCATGAGGAAAGTTTCCTTAACATTGTGTTTTAACAACCACGTCTCTTAACTGGAACAAACTTGAATATTCAGTTAACCATACAACCAAACTGATCCTCTTCCTTTCTTCACCTGCCCATTAACAGTGATCTGTGCCCACCCCCCTTCTTGCTTTCTTTACATGGCAGACAATTGGTTTACCAGCCATTTTCATTCGAACTGCTGGAAATGAGGATGAGGAGACACTAAACGCTGTGTGTGATGGGCGGGTTGCAGCCAGGAGCCTCTTTGGTTGCGCGGGGCAACAGTCAGATAATGGATGACAAGGCCTCCTGGAGCCAGCCGTTCCATTAGGTTTGGTTAATGCAGTCAGAGGAGGCTGGGGTGGCTCATCCGCCTTCACATCCATTTTCAGAAACGCTCACTCACTCTGACCACTGGATCGGGCTATCTCTTTCCTTGTTCTTCCCTCGTTTCGTGCTTCCCCCTGAGTCATGCAGTATACCTCAGTGTTTTCTTCTTCCCTCTCTCTAATTTCTTCCACATTGGACATTCTTCCTTTATTCTCCCAGCTTTTCCGAGTGAGTGTAGGAAGAAACAGACCGGAGCCGTCTTAGTACAGTTGTGGTTTGCTCACAGGATCAAACAGCCATTGCACAAAGGTAAAGAACATTTAGTCTCTGAACTACTGTGCTGAGGAATCCACAGCAGATTGAAACTTTTGTAATCCAGAGTTCTTAGAAGTCTATTTTTAGGTCTTTATGTTTCTTAAATGCAAGACAAGCAGTTTAGAGCAGCATGTGTGGCAAAATGGGAACTCCAGGATTGTGACAGAGGTTCCGTGCTCTGTACATTTGGAGGGCAGGACAAAGAAATTCATGAATGGAGACACAGTTTGTGTGTCTGCATGAACTGTGTGGCAATCCCCTCATGTGTATGATGGGAATCTGAACATTGAAATCAGGAAAACAAATGTACACATCGTACAGAACAATTGTCCAGAGTGTCGTCTCGCCTGTTCAAACTGTTATGGTGAAATACTGGCTTGTTGTAATGCTCCCCCTCAGTTCAGTTTGTCTTCTTTAGGTCGTTTTCAGGCTTGTTCGTGCTGCATTCTTTGGTACCAAATCACATCAGATGGAAACACAGTCAACATTACCATTTGCTGCTTTTGTGATGGTGATGTCAGAGCTAGCTGGTGTGTACTGTGTCTTGGCGTGATAAATAGCTAAACAAAATCTTGGAGAATAGTAGCTCTCGTCCAGTTCTGACTTGTGTTCCAAGTCGTTGTCCTGCTGACAGGCCAAAGAGCTTCACCTCCAACCTGAGCTCAGCAGCTCCAGTAGGCTAGTGGGACGTGGGATAGCTCCATCGTGTTGTACTGTGGGAACGGGGATCTTTGCCTTGTGAGATTTATTCTATTGCTTATTAACAAAATGATGCTTTGCATTGGTAGAGAACTTTACATAATTTCCTTAAA